CGATGAAAGTCAGGGAAAGAAAGAAAAGAATAAAGGAGAAAGATGAGGAGCAGGAAGAAGATGAGGGGAAAGAAAAGTAGTAGAAGTTGTTCAAGTGATGCCAATGGTGATTCTAGTATGCTTACTGATGTCAATGCTAAGTCACGAGGAGTGGGGGCAAAATAGATCTTTAAGTTCTTGAAAATATACGAAAAACTTGGCACACTCGTTGGTGCTATTCCTCGTTTACGTTCAGATTCTCTTTCTCTTTCTATCTCTTTTTCTCTTTTCGATATTTCTTTTGGTCGGACAAACTTTTCTATAGAAATTCTTATGTCACGAATATTGAAAGAACAAGAAAGGAACATGATAAAGACGACGAGGATTTCTCGATCATTATCGACGATCGACGATTGCTACCTGTTGCAAAGATTTCAAAAGAATACCAAAGCATTCCTGTACCTTTTTTAAATCTACCTTTACGTTGTTTGAAGTATTAACTCAAAGAGTATATTAGCTGGATTGTTACTTTTAGGTTTATAGGAATTTTTGTATACATATTTTACGAATAAAGGAAAATTACAAATGTGGTATAATGTATTATGCAAAATTTGAAAATTAGAAAAGTGAAAGTGAAATGTTTTTAAGTATATATTTGTATCATTCAATCAATAAGAATAAGCAAAAATTGTTGGAAAATAATAGTCATAATTTTGTTCATTTTACACGTGAAATTTAAGCCTGTAATATTGACGGGTCTCATAAATCTAATGTTCAAAATTGGAGAAACTAAAAAGATCAAGAGAACAAAATATATGGATAGATATGAATTAAACAGAGAGAGAGAAAGAGAGAGAAAGAGAGGAAGGAATACTTCTCGAGGGAAACGTATTTCATATTTTTCTTACAAGAATGCATACCTTCATCTTCTATATCAATTCTTTTTATTACATTCTCGCTTGCCATTGTCGTCATATACTTAGAATTTCTTTTTTACCAAAATGATTGTTCTCTTTCTCTCTCTCTCTTTTTCTCTTTTTTTCTCTCATAGACTATTTATATGACACAATACGTTTCTTTAAAAACGATTTTCACTGATATAAAAAAAAACGCACATTTGACGCGTAAAAATAATCAATAACGGCTTAATGGAAATTTTTATCACGTTTAAAAATATGTATGTACTTATTTGTACATACACACATGTGTATAAATATATACATAATATACATACTTATCCGTAAATTGACCGATGTTAAAACATCAAAAGCCGTCTTGTTCCATATTCTATATGTAAATACGTATAAAGCAATGTTTTTTTCTTCTTCTAACGTGTTAATTAACAATAATATACGTTTCAATGAAATTAAGCGAACACATATTAAATAATAGTTATAATAATATATAAGTAAGCATTTTCTGACCACAGCTGCTAGTAGAAATCTCTAGAAGATCTGTTAATTTACCTTGCTATCTTGCCTTAAGCTCCTACAAGAACTCGTCTTTGATTTAACTTTGAAAAGGAATATACCCGGCAGTATTTCGAGTGTGTCTCTTCTCTTTAATGGATTTTCTTAATAACGTCGAGGGCACGACGTTGAAGGGATAGAAAAAGAGAAAGAGAAATAGATAGAGATAGAGAAAGAAAGAAAAAGATAAGATCTTTTATGAACTTTAAAGAACATTCTATCTATGTTCCCATAATTTTATATAAGTATCGATATATACATATATGTATGTGAATATGTGAACACATACATACCTATATATATATATATATATGAAATATGCATATGTAGATATCTACATCGTACATCATACATTCTCTCTCGATCGGACTATATCAACCATTGGAATTTTCCGTATTTCTCGATGCTTTCGTTACCACACCTTTCACCTTACATCGATCTTCGAACCCACTCGCTTTTCCTCTTTCGCTCGCCCTCCCCACCCATTCCCTCCTCCCGACTACCCTTTTACCTCTTTCCACCCTCTCAACACCATATCCAAGTGCGATTTCTGAATTCAACATACAATGGATAGCATTGAAGCGTAGTTTCCATTCGAGCATTGAAATGCTCGTTCACCGAAGCGTCGAATCTACACTGCGAATGCACGACAATGCTCTCTACAATAGGATTTTGCCGACAGGCATGACCGCAGACGCGGTGATTAATTAGGGTATCCGAAGTCGTGGCCAGATACGACGACGGTAATACTATACTCTCCCGTTTCTCTTCGTCCCTCTCAGTTATCCCTTTCTCCAATCTTTCTCATTCTCTCTCTCTCTCTCTCTCTCTCTTTCTCTTTATTTCCCCTATGGTCGCTCGATAAAACCGCAAAGTTCACTAGGTGCTCTTGTATTTAGACGTTTAAGATTTATCGCTAATTAAGGCTTATTATTCGTATTCCAGGATACACGTCGATAACTAATAATAATTGCGTATGGTCAAGTATAGAAATACTTGTACAACCGATCGATTTGATTACTCTCTCTCTCTCTCTTTTTTTCCTCCTTCGTTTCATCCTCTTTGTAATTTACAAAATATGTATTTCAAAAAAGTTGAACGTCGTCGTCGTTGGAAAAAAAGGTTAGTCGTCTATAGTTCATACACCTATCGCATAATAAAAATAATTCGAAGTATAGACTACGGAAAAGATAGATAAAGGAAATAGTGTAGTCTTCGAGAATGAGGATCGATCGTAATAAAAAAGAAAAGAAAAAGAAAAAGAAAAGAAAAAAGGAAAATAGAAAGGGAGAGAGAGAGATAGAGAGAGAGAAAGAGAAAGAAAGAAAAAACAAAAGAAAGAAAACAAAAAGAACATATTAACCGAATGAAGTCGCGTCGTCAATAATTTTCACCACCACCACTACCACCACCCCCTCATACTCAATCCGTTGTTTCAAAACCCTCCGGCGTTCGTTATTATTTCACTTACGTCCGTTATGGCGTAGCCATTAAGTCGTTAACGAGCGAAATCGTCGATAATTCTGATGGTAAATCTAATTTCGAGTGTGCAGCGAAAAAATGTAAAATGCTGAAGTAAGCACGTGAGGGAGATCGTTCATCACGTTTGTTGTGTGGGGTGATGAAAAAGGAAAGCAAAATAGAGTTGCAATAGAATAGAAATAGAGAGAGTGAGAGAGAGAGAGAGAGGGAAATGGGGTGTATGGGGGTGTGGGGGTGAGGGAAGGAAAAAAAAGAGAATAAACGTTAGTTTGTTGAGCGTAAAGAATATACTAAAGAGTTTTTCTTCCTTGAAAGTTTAATGAATTGAATTCATTGGTCAGGAAAGAGAGAAACACATTTATCTTCTAAGAAGGTGAAAAAGTGGGAGAGTGGGGCGGCGGGAAGAAGAAGGAGGGGAGATTTGTTGGAGTGGAAAAGGAAAAGAAGAAGGTGTGAGGAAGAGAAGGTTTAACGAATTACAATACCGACGAGTAAAAACGCCGAAGCTGCTCAACGAGCGAGTTATTTTCCTTCTCCTTCTATTATTTTCTATCTACGTGTGTGCATGTATGTGTGGTGTATGTGTTCGTGTGTGTATGCTCGTGTTTGTTTAGTCCGATCGATCAATTGCTCAAAAATCCTAAAGACTCTCTCTCGTTCATTATGGATTCGCCAACTTAGGGATTATCACGAAGAGATAGTTTCTTTAACCGTTTGAGTGCCACGGGCTTTTCTCATTTCCTGATCGAAACTTGCCAAGCGGCGCGATAGCGCTTGTTATATTCCGTGTCGAAATTTGCCAAGCGGCGCGATAGCGCTTGTTATATTCCGCGTCGAAATTTGCCAAGCGGCGCGATTGCGCTTGTTATATTATATTTTTATTATTTTTTATATTATTTTTTTGTTATTGTAATATTTCGCGCCTGCTGTAATTATGGGCTTCGCAGCTCAGAGCGCTGCAGTTTTCAAGACAGGACAGAAGAAGCGCGATCGCGCCGCTTGGCACTCAAACGGTTAAGGATCAGAATAAAGGATACGCGTGTGAATCCTTTTCAAGGCTAATCTGTATTACAAAGAAAAAAGAAAAAAGAAGAAGAAGAAGAAGGAGTAGAGACAAAAGAAGAAGAATAAAAAAGAGCGATTGAAAGAACATCGAGGATAATAGCTCGATATGAATAAAAATTGAGGTTGAACTTTGTCAGCACTTGCTAAAATCGTAGTTAAACTTGTAAAGAGGTGATTTTTCTTGTAAAAAGAACAAAAGCAATGTCGAAATTAAAATTTAAATTGTACAACGTCGTATATTTCCTCAATAATAGGAGTATACAATTATTTATTACTTTTATTTATTATCCTAAAAAATCATTATATTGTTTCGTGTATTTGTGTGGCTAAAAAAGAAAGGGATAGAAGAGAAATGTTTTTTAAATTTAAGATAGTAATTTTTCCTTTTCTTTTTCAACCACTTATTTATGTTTTGTTAGACAGAAAAAATTATATCTCGAATTTTGTTTAAACCATAATTCTCCAATTTTTATAAATTTTACTTTTTCTAATGGATAGACATAACTTTTCAAGTTGACCACGATTGTTATTTCACGGTTTGTATACTACGCGTACGTACGTACGTACATACGTATGCACGTATGCACGTATGCACGTATGTATGCATATACAAATACACAATATCGTCAGGATGTGTCGTAATAACATTTTGTATCGAGTTTACTTAATTCTTCGCGCGGTGCAAGTTGGAAATTCGTAAAGCAATTTCTGCTATTGTGTAAGCTCTCTTCATTTCGCTATTTCGCATGAATGAGCTTATGGTTCTAACGACCTTACACAGCACACACCGAATCGACCATCGACGTTCCCATAACGTTTTGCATTACAAAGAGAAGAGATATATCATCGTCAAGTAATATTTCATTAACTACAAAGTTTTCGTAACTAAGTCAAATTTGTTAATATACGCTCTACAAATCTTCTCTACTATATATATGATACGTGCACGAATTAAGCGAACGTTTTATATTTCATACCTTTTTCGGACAATACGAAAAACAATGGAATTTAATAAATGCAAAATCATCAAACGCGCGCGCGCGTATCAATATATTTTTCTAAATAAGTTTTAACTTATTTACTTATTTTTTTTTCATGTCATAAATTTAATTTAAAAACTTTTTAATATCTGTTCATGCTCAAATATATATATATATAGAAAGCGAGAAAATTTTGAGATTGTTAAATGAATGCAATTTTGTTTGTATATAGTAAGCGTACATATACATATACACACACACACCCACTTATATGTATATATGCCTGGTATATATATATATACCTATAGAAATGAAAAAAATGCACTCGGTCTGCTGTAATGAAACGATTTCACGCTCGCAAGATCGTTCATCGACCCTTCTATATTTGTTTTGCGCATCGATTCGAATACCAGACGATTTTATCAGCCCTATCGCGTTTTGATTATTGAGCATATCGTCCTTGATAATCCGTAATCTAAATGGGAGCATCGGCTTCGAAGCATTGCTCGAAATCTAATTATTCTTCATTATCCCTTTGCAAAGTGGATATCCGTAGTTGAAAAGAAAGAATAAAACGTTTCGTGACGTGGAACGGACAATTGTTAAAAAGAGGAGACAGATGTATATGAACGTTGCGTAAACGTGGGGATGAAATAATGTATGTAATAGAAAAAGAAAAAGAGGAAGAAAAAAAAGTGTGAGAGAGAAAAGAGAGCATGTACTTTGTCTGCACATTAATATAACAAGAGCATTAAGTATTCCTCTTTTTCTGACCGTTTAAAACCGTATGAGAGACTCATCCTCTCTCAATAAAAAAGAATATTCCAGAGAAATATTGTAAAAAAAAAAAAATTTTGGTAAAAGTTTTACCAACGTGCGAGTACGATAAGAGATTATTAAATTAATGGATGGTTTTATCGAAGTTAAAGATAAATATGTATCTATATTACRTACGTACGTATGTTGAATCTTTCAAAATATCATAATGAACTTTATAATCCGAAAAGAAGCGGTCTTTATTAAACGATATAATCGTTTTATTAATTGTAATAGTAAAATTAAGATCTCTTAAATGCTTGTTGCGTTTTTTTTCTTTGTTTCTTTTTTTTTTTCATCAAAGGAATGACGAAAAATTATGCGCGTGTCGTTGGCGATTGTACATATTATTATTATTATTATTATTATTATTATTATTATTATTATTATTATTATTATTATTATTATTATTATTATTATTACATGAATATATAAATATATACATACATACGTGCATGCGATCTCACATGTACATATGTGTTATTATAGATATTCGATGTGACGTAAATGTTAAATATTATTATATTTTATAATAAAAGCGAAAAAAAGAAAAACACACACTTAGAAAAACTTTTTGAAAAATGGTTCTACTACTCCTAACTGAATTTTCTTTTTACAGAGAAAAACGAACATTCGTCTTATGAGAAATTTAAAGAAGAATATATTTTTTTTTTTTTTAATTTCTTACAGCGATCGATATATTTTTTAATCATCGAATAACAAAATCAGGTAGGTACATACATGCAGTACAACATATATCAAACTGAATCGTTACGAATTAATAAAATTCGTACCTTGACGTTAATAACGACTAGCCCAGCATCGTCTGAGTTCGATCGACTCTTGCTATTTTTGTGTGCGGCCGTGCATAAATGATAAAAAAAAAAATAAAAAAAATAAAAAACAAGGGAAAAAAAATGCAAACATTCGACTCTCGCACCCTTCGACACATCCTCGTCCATCATTTCTCCTGTGAATGGTTCTACGTCTAACAGGACGCGCCCCTGCCACGTATTTTAATAATCATGAGATTTCTCGACTTTTATACGACACGAAATATGTATATGTATATTTATTTCAGGAAATTCTGTGATGTATTACAGCTTACGCAGAAAGAACAGCTTGATCGATGACTTCGTTCTTTTAATATATACATACATACATACATACGCGCGCGCGTGTGTGTGTGTGTGTGTGTGTGTAATATATATATATTCACGTATTTTCTAAATTATCGTTTCTTCTTTATACATACATGTACACACAGATACTTAAACATAGTTGCATTCGTTCAACACAAAGTACTTTCAAGAAGTTAGATAATCATTTATCGATCTAAAGTTTCGGTCGTTATAACTTTGCAATAATTTTAACGAGAGATAATTCTTAGCTGGATCGATGTTCAAAAATAGACGAATAAAAAAAAATGAAAAGAAAATAAAAAGAATTGGAGCATTAAGGTAGCATTACATGGAAGAATGTAATCTCGGATCTAACATAAGATTCATTACCATCGCCATGTTTTAGACGTTAAGTCTCGTAAGGTAAGAAGGAAGGAAGTTAGTTTGGCATGTGAAGGGCTTTTATATATAACTTCGGTAAAACTGAAAATAAACGCCAATTAATAAACGCTCGGCAGTTCTCGTAATTAAAGTTAGACGACGATCGTTAACGTTTAAAGATAAGATTTATTTCGATGAATCGTTAATTGAAACGACACACCTGGGGTGATCTCCTCCTCGTCAGCGGAAAGTGGGATGATAGAAAAAACGGAGAGGTGGAATGGAACGGGAGGAGGGAATACGGTACGATGGGTGAGAAGGGGACGGCTATGCTATGAGAGGACAGGAAAAGGGAATAGGAAAAGTATTTTATCGCTCGCACATGCAGACATTCGGGCTGCAGTTCAATTTACGCGCAGATGTACGTGACGTGAGGTTCGCGCACGTTTGGCACCCTCATCCCCGAAGCCCCCTTTAATCCCCCTTCTCCCACATTCCCTTAGAAGACGAACGGGCCAACGTGTTTACGTTTAAGCCTGACTGTCAAGAAACTTTCAAAAGATATCTCGCATATTTTTCTATTTCTGTAAACATCTTTTTTTCTCTCATACCCCTTATTTTCGAAAACTCATTAGTTACGCGTCAATTGACGTGTTCTTAATACATAAATATCCTCTTCTACACACATTTTTCTCTTTTTTCTTCTTTTTTTCAAATATAAAAAGATCGATCGTTAAACTTTTTCACGACGTTTATTTAGACTTTTATTTTCATATTTTTTTCGTTGCTACGTTTTCATTTTTCTTTTTAACACTTTTAATCCACCAGTTAAATTTATTTATTTGTTTTTTCGAATAACAGATTCGATCGAGATTATTTTTTATACTTGATGGATGTCGAGTCAGACTCGACGTAGCGTCATCAGATTCACATTACAGGTGGGATTATAAATTGTGAACAAAAAAAAATTAAAGTAGCAAGTAAAGAGACAAGAGGTTTAGTGGTTGCATCACGCGATTAAGATCATTAATATTGTTAAAAGCTTTGAGAAATTATACATTGTTTCTATATACCTATCTTTATACTAAAGCAATTATTAAAAAGGAAACTTTTGAAAAATAAGTTTCCAATTATAATAATACATAAACCTTCCAAATTAAGCAACACAGTAAACTACAGATCTGAACATTTGAACATGTACGTTCAATCAAAAATCACAAACTATACTTTTGGATCCGAAATAATTTATTTAACTAACATTGCTTTAAAATTTCATAAATAATCCAATTTATTATTATTAAAAGGCATCAATGATTACGTATGAAAATATTAATAAAAAGCATACATTTCCCAAACTTGATTTTTCCCATTAAATATTTGTTTGACAAACTATAACTCTAATTGACATTAATTTTAGTTAATGAATTTTTGTTGAACATAGACGTTATTATCTTTCAATTTCAATTTATAAAATATAATAATAAAACACTTGTTTTTTTTTGTTTATTTTTAAAAGTATCGTTTTTCTTATAATAAAGCCAATCAAATAATTTAAGTACACAAATTTTATCTCCATTTCTCTCTCTCTCTCTCTCTCTCTCTCTCTTTCTCTCTCTTTGAAAGTATATCATATCCTTAATATCGGAGCTGGAAGATTGGCTTCAATTAAGATTTCAAAATTAATTTACCTTTGTTAAGAGGAAAAGTACGTAATGAGAGAAGAACCTTGCCTTCGGTGATATCCCAAATCGACGATTTTCGTACCTTTATCGAGGACACTTGAACGAGGACTACATAGAAGACGATGGTAAAGAAGAAAAATAATACTCTTGGTACTCGTAGAAGATACATACGAGTATTAAAAAGCTAAAGAAAGAAAGAAAGAAAGAAAGAAAGAAAGGAAGAAAGAAAGATAGAGGAAAGAAAAAACAAACTTCGTGTATACTCTCTTAAAAATTCATGCTTGTCAATCC